CTTTAGAAAAGTGGGGTTGGGGTTGGGTTAATTGTCATAATTTTCACCTGCAACTGCTGATGAGGAAAAGTGAGTTGGTCCCAATTTGAACCGTGACGTTGAGATTGAAATGCCCCTGCGGGGCATAGGTTTCAACCTGAGAGAGAGAGAGAGGGAGCTTCCGACACTGCTCCCATGCTTATGAGTTATGACAATAAACAGAATGCCATAATCTGTGTCTATCTTTGGGAGGCGTCAAGGCTGGCTGTCTCTCTCCACCCCTATTTGATCACTCCTTTTTTGTCATCTTCTTTTTCTTTATTGGACGAGCCACGTTCTCCTTGTTTGTAATTTGTTTAAATTCACTTCAAATTTTAATTTTAAAATTACTTATTTACTCAAGTGTACTTCAAAATGTACAATGTTTTGTTTCATTTTTCAAGCCTTCATTTCCTATTTGCTTTTATTATAAGCTAATGCAACAAAAATTACTTGAATCTAAAAGCAATAAAACTACTTAAACCTAAAAGCAATAAGCTGGGAAATTTTCTGAATGTACCAATGGATAATGGATAGTATTATTACATATCCAGAATTTTATTTAAATATATCAACATTGGATCCAGATTCATTCTATATACACACTTCACAACACATCAATTCAATCTCAACCACACAATCACCTTCAAGTAAAAATTTGAACACAATTTTAGGATAAATATAATTAGTGGGTAATAAGTAGTGTACCTTGACATGAAAACAAGTTTTAGACTCTTTTTGAGTCCTTGGAATTTGGAATTTGGGGCTGAAGATCCACGGGTAATTACAAAATTGAAGTTCATTCTTCACCCCACCGAAAAGCCCATGACCCACACGGTACCACCAACTACAAACAAGCCCATTAAGGCAAAGGTCACACTACGGTTTTCAGTAATGTAAAAAAGCTAGAGAGAGAAATGCCCACTAGTGCAAAATAATTTAGGTTGGGACTGGGAAGTGATTTTTTAATAGTGCATTTACTAAAGCGTGCACAAGTGTGTGTTTTGAGCAAATTAAGGACTTTACTGCATACCCAGGTGATGTCACATTAGGCTTATATGTACCCATTTTTTAACTCTTTTTGCTTGTGAAACAAGTCGTCAGGACTGACACACTACTCTCTTTCTCACCCAGACACATGCACATAAAGACAGTGACTGTAACTAGGCAAAGAAGGCAGCAACAAGACAAAAGCAAAAGTCTCAGTTGACTGAGAGAGCTGAGAGAGTTTAAAGGAGGTGGTTTTATGAAGTAGAGGTTGTATAGGGGGGTAGAGAAATATATAATATGTAAAGATTAAATTCGAATCCAAAGATAGTAGTTAGTACTGTGAATACCTGAGATTCGGTGATATACCATGTAGACGTCAGCCCATCATATCCTTGGGTTCTCCCAGGTCTGTCTCTGTGGATGTTTCATGGGCTAAGTGCAACTTAAGGAAAAAGGCTGACCCTTCTTTTGTGGCTTCTTGGCTCATCACCTACGCATTTCCAATGAAAGTTCACATCAATCTCTCACATCGATCTCCCAAGTCTGTCGCTGTGGATGTTTCATGGGCTAAGTCCAACATTCGTGATGATCGTCATCATGACGATAATGATTATGAACCTTGTGCTTTGGTAAACTTGACAACCTGAGACATTAGTTTAGTGGGCTTTACATGGACACTTTATTCATTGAGTAAGCCCAATGTACCTTTTAATTGGGTTTTTAATGGACCCAAAATGGCCCATTGGGTCTTTGAGTGTGGCATCACCTGTACATACCACAAACTAAAAACGCAGAGAAATGACATCTCTAATTGCATTTAAATCAACAACCAAAAAATTAAATTGCATTGCTCCTCTACGGTCCATTATAACTAGTTTAGTACTCTAAGAGCACCACCAACTCAGCATGTTAGATATGGTGCTCTTGGACCAATAATAACAATAGTCATGGATGAGTGGAGCAGACCCAACCACCTTGGTCGTCTAGGTGAAGGACACAGTTGGCCCAATCCATCCTCTTTTGCACAACCTCATTGGTTGGGAACACCATGTGTACATGCTATGGTAATGCACCGGGGGTAGAGAATAAATTTTCCTATGTTAACACTTAACACAGATAAAATATATCTCAATCGACATGGTATGAAAATAAATCACTCAAGACAAACCATAAATCAATCTGAAATTGAAACCACTAAAAGAATCTTCCTACATGGTTACAAGTATAGCATGAGTCCAAGGCAATGAGACTTACAGTGGCCGTGTGGACAGAAGTCAAGTCCAGTGAAGAAACGAAAGGGGCATCCAGTTCATGCCAAAACATTAGTTCCGTTCAAAGCCAAACCTCAAATGGGCATGAATTCTGCATTGCGATCAGTAATATATGAACTAAAAGCTACGAATTTTTTTATTTATTTTTTCTCATGCAAAAATTGCAACAGATGTAAATTAGATTTCACGGCTGCGTATAGAACACTATGAATTCTGCAAAAAGCTACAAACACACAACCTAAAAACAGCATGGCTACGAATTCGTTATAATGGACCGTAGTGTTCATAGTGTACTCTAGAACACTAATCACAGAATTCGTAGTGTTCTATATCTCGTAGTATTCTCATGCAAAAAGCTACGAATTCTGCATGGCTGCGTTAGTGTTCTACAAAACCTAAAAACAGATGTTAATGTGATTGATAACAATGTGATTTCAAGATGCTTGAGTACAACAAAGAAACATCAGAATGACAAGCAAACTACCATGAGTAATCAGGCCATACTTATCACACACAACCTATGCCGGCACAGCCATGGAAGTTGAAGCCAGTAGGATTTTCAAAAACACAGGCACTACCAATGACTAGATGATTGCTAGGGAGCACATTGTACACAATTTTGGAGGCATTACAACCTTCCAAACCGGTGGCCATATTTAGGTTTGACTTACTTATGGCCATTACTACTGCACTGCTTCAACCAAAGAATCAAATCATTTTCAGAAATGATAATAGATTCATAGGAGTAGTTATTAAAAACTGCTGACAGATTAAATAAGCTGCATATACTTTTCTGTAAGAGCCGATTAATTTTCCTGCGAAGGAAAATTAAACTGCATTTTACAACAACGTTGCGTGAACAAATGGACACGACGCACTTTCCAGAAGAGGACATCCCAATGGCTTAGGTAGCTTTCCCCCAATAAAGAGACTCATGCTTGTGTCTCCTTAACTTACCTATAAAAAAAAGTAAACACATAAATAGAGACTATCATAGATTGCTATTCACCTATCAAAAAAAGAGGCTAAAAATTAAAATGAAAAAGAAAAGATAAAACATCCATTCTTTAGCCAGTGATCGAAGCTGTCTGACGGGTTAAACATCCATTCTAACTAGAAACTTTCCAGTTCTGTGTATTGCCTGGTATGGGGGAAAGTATGTTGCCTGGGATAGCAAAAAATTTTAAACAAAAACTTCAGTTGTGCTCTTTTATTCAGCTCAACAGTGGGCAGTCACAGTTCTTTAGGACTGTAGAAAAAGGTTAGAGCTGCAATGGAACGGAACAAGTCCAATTGTGAACAAAACACAAGTTTTCATTGGTTCAAAACAATGGTGTCTACAACTTAATATTTTCCCCTTAACTAAATAGAAATCCTAAAATGGCACAACACTCTTGATGCACTCCACCATTTCATCCATCCTCTTATAATTCTATGGGCCACATCCTTCTTACACTCTGATTGGATCATGAGATGAGAAAAGGAAAGAAATGATTGTGGTCTCTTATATAGATGAGAAAAGAAGAAATGATTTTATTTTCTCACTATCATATTTTGATGAGTAAAAAAGCAAAGTATGTGATATAAAAATGAGTGGGATTTCTTTTCCTTCCCTTGTATTCTAATCAGCATTCTCAGTATTATGGAAACTATACACCCATCCAGTTGTTTCTCAGCAAAAAAAAATTAAAAATTAAAAAAAAAAAACTTCTAACCAAATAATTTGAACAAAATCCCAAAGATAATGAAGATAATTAAAAATGATGAGGTCTTGAAAGCATATAAGAAGAAACACTACCAAACACTTTCGGAATAATGAATTTTAACAATCCACAAAAAATTAAATACAAATCACAACCTAATAGTGCCATAAAGCACAATCCCAAATATACAGAACCTTGGTCTGAATGAAATATTGAATATTAATATGAGAAAGGGAAGCACAAGACAAAATCTTTGACATTTACTAAGATTGATTACATTGAAAGAAAAAAAGGGAAGTAGAAGACGATACTATCAAAATATCCAACAGGGGGAAATTAATTTGGTAGTTTATCAGTTTATGACAAATTCCCATTACAATAAAAAGAGGTCCTATTGAAATATTTAAATTTAAATTTAAAAAAAGAAAAGAAAAAAGGATCAATAGAGACAAAAAGTATTGGAGACCTTTAACCTTTTATTGTTATAGGCAAGACAAGTAGTCTTGGTTCCATAACATGGATCATTCCTACTCTTGTTTTTAATAATTATGCAAATTTATTGGCAGGAACAAGAGGGCAGTTCCTCCTTCCTTCTAAACCACAAAAATAAAAATAAAAAAGGGATCCAAACCACAAAAAGAACAATCAGATAGTGAACACATGAAAAATAAATTTAACCATGGAACTATAATGCATCCAAGTTTAGCATCAAATATATACGCCTATTCAGAAGATTCACACCGAAAAATCAAGCTAGAATGTGAATAGAAGTTAAAAATCTCAGAGGCGAGTGTAACTCAAAAACAAACAATAACAAAGTCTTTATCATCACTTACCAATTATACAATTTCAGACTTCAAATCTGTAAACATCAGCAAGTACATACTCCAGCAAGCAAAAACAATTCAACAAAGGAATATTATATACATATTTGATCTAAAAACATTTCAGTATAACTTTAGTATATCTAATATTTGATCTAAAAATCATAATCCGATATGATAATTCTCATATAAGATATCCCAAGCACAATATTATATCAAGCTGAATTAAAGTTGAAGAATTTGAATTTCAAAACATAGTGCTTTCCTCTCAAAACAAACTAGTGCTATGTACATACCAACTAAGATCAACCCTGAAAACAAATAGTAAGCGACACCTAACACCTATTTGTGCAAAAGTGCAAGCCAATCTCAAAAAACCTGACAGCTATGCATTACTACAGTTAGTACAGAACTTAGCTATGTATGACCAAAAGAGTTTTGTGCTTTTCCAGTTAAAAACCAAGCTGGTCCTTCACATCTTCATCACGTGGGACTAATTTGCATCCCTTCAGATTTGACAGATGCGTTCTCCATCCCATTGTCCATGGCAATCTGCCTATCACGGCATTCAGCAGTGCAAAATGCACGCAAGTAGCTGCATACATCATCAAATCTCAGTTTTAAGTATTCAATGATGCAGTAGTGTTGCTAGCTTAAGCACAAAAAAGAAATAAATTTTATTTAAAAAAATAAAAACAGCAAAAAAGTTTCGGTTGATTTACAAAATATGCATGCATCACATTTTCAATTAGAATACCTAGCAGATGCCTAACAATCAATAACCATATGAAACGGAAATTACAACATAAATAAATTGGATACAATTAAATCAAATCAAATCAAATCAAAAAATATCAGCTTCACAAATGAAACCTTCATGGTAGCTGTTGACCGAGGAGAAAGAAATTGAAAAGGAAATGCTAAAGTTTTCAACTAGATCTACATAAAATATGCATAGGTGCATCCTCCCTCCCAATAACCACATATATTTGCATAGACATAAATTATTGTTGCTTCTTAGTTGTTATTGCTCCTATTACTTTGGATAAGTAAAGGAATTTACTTGAGGGTCCTAATTTTCGGAGATACCTATTTGGATATAGAGCATAAATAGTTATAATGCTGATAAAAAAGAGAACATATTTACAACATCTATCATCAACTTTGCCAAGGAAAAGTATGCAGAGAGAACAGCCACATAAACAGCAAGAAATACTCCAATTACAACTAGCATATTTGAAGGCAAACATGAAGAGAACAAAAAGAATCATGGATTATTCAAGAAGAAACACCAATTAAAAAAACAAAATTTAAGAATAAAAATAATAATAAATCAAATTAAATAAGCAAACAGGTATAGAAGAAAGAGAAAACAGAGTAGAAACAGAGTGAAAGGAAAAAAAAAATGGCAACCTATACATGAAGACTTCAGCATTTTCACCGATCTTCTTCTTGCAATAGTAACATTTGTCGAGAAACTCTCCGATCGGCTGATCATCACTACCATCAATACTCTCCTCCTGAACTGGAGATGACAGGGTCAGAATCCTCGGTGGCGACACCAGCGACTTCTCTGCGACTGACGGTCTCATAGCCTTAGAAGAATAACTCGGAGGCTTCGCAGCGGCGGCGGCGGAGGGCGGAGCTGAGCGCCTCTCCAGCCATCCGTCGGCCGATTCAATCGGCGGAGATAGGACACCAGAATCTCCGAAGCTCGAAGACCTGCCGATTAGAGAGCGCTTCACCGGCATTGTTGCTAGGGTTTCAGAAAGCGCCAATTGGGAGAGAAGAAAGTTAGGGTTTTGGAGAGTGAAAATCGGTCCGTGAGTCCGTGCAGAGATGAGAAGTTGACGGAGAGAAAAGACTTGGAGCGAGGGGGCAAATAAGCTGGTACTGTGTGAGAGAGGGATGCTAGACGGGCAGGTATATATAGGCTACTGTGAGACCAGTGACGCTTCCCAATTAGAAATTAATTAAAACGCGTCTTTTTTATTTTTCAACAATCGCAGTATGGATTGGAGACTCGCTTTTGTATGCCAAATGCATTTAAACTTTAGTTTGACATTGGTTATGGCAGTTAATTTTTTTGTGTTAGGATTTTTTTAATTTAATTTTTTTAGTCTTGTTTGATTTTATTTTTAAATTTTTTAATTTTTGTGAGAAAAAAATATAATAATTATAATTTGAATGTAACATTTTATCTTATTAATTTATATAATTTATTTTATCTTTTTATATTTTTTTAATCTTAAAATATTTACCGAACGAGGACTTATAATGATAGGTTAAGGGTGGGGAATTTCTTATTATTAATAAAAAATTAACACTTTTAAAATTATATTATTATAAGTTGGATTATAAAAAATTTATGTAGATTTCAAACATTTTCTTTTATTTTTGTCTTTCCATACGAGAAGAAGTAGACTTTGCAGTCAATTCAGCTACGCTCAATTAATTCCGCCAACAAATCGCCATCAATGAAGGAAAATCTTTTATGCTGTATTTGGTTGAGAGATTTGGGAAGAGATTTAGAAAGAGAAATAGAAAAGATAAGCGAAGTGCGAATAAATTGTGTCTATATTTCACATAGTTTCACATACCTTTTCCTTTCTCTTTCCAAATCCCTCTCTAAATCCTCCAACCAAACACAACATTAAAATTTTCATAAATTTTTCATAACACACTTATCTAATTTGACAAGTATTAATTTTTAATTAACTTTTTTTTTTGAAGTTAATTTTTAATTAGTTAAATATTTAATAATATGAGATTCATCACCCTTGTCACATCATTATGATTACATTTATAGATACAAAATGTAAATCTCTAGTATTGTTGGTAAATTAAAATGCACCATTCTATATTTGTTCACTGGGTGTGTTTGATTGGGGGATTAGGGGGAGACTATTCACTATTCGGATTACTTATTCGAAGGAGTGAGTAGTTCATCGTTTGTTTTTTTTTAATCCGCCGGACATGGAGTCCGACCGGACTCCTTATCTCCCATCTGGGGGATTATACTATCCCGGGGGGGTGTGAGACAATTTTGGGGAGACAATTTACTATTGGGATTAAGTGATAAAATGTCTATTTTGACCCTATACTATTTAATTATATATTATATTTAATAAAATTTAATAAAATTTAAATGTCTCAATTTAAAAATAAAATAATTTTATTTAACTTTTTATTAATGTTTTATTTATTTAATTTTTTTATAGATATTTTATTGATATTTTATTTTAAATTTTGTTTATATTTTATTTAATTTCATTATTTAAATGTTAATAGATGTTTTATTTAATTTAATTGTTTAATTATTATTATTTTTAAAAACAAATTTATTTAAAATTTTAATTAAAAAATAACATATATTTTTATTGATATTTTATTTATTTTATTAAAAAAAATAAATTTATTTAATTGTGTAAAAAATAAAATAAAATAAAATTTTATTTAATCTAACTAAAAATAATTAAAATATTAAAGATATGTTTAATATTGCTATTACTTAGTAAATAATTGAAAAAATGTAAAATAGTCTTTTATTCATTTATCCTATCCAGTCCGTCTAACCAAACGTTTGATTCATTAAAAATAGTCATTTCCAGACATCTAATCCCATGAAAAAACAAACACATGATACATATTCAATCCGACCAAATAGTCCGGGGGATTCACAGTCTCAGGACTCAAGTCCGATGGATTTTAATCCCTCCTTATCCAGTCCGTCCAATCAAACACAGCTATGTGCTTGAGATTTCTTTCTTTGGTAGATTTTTCTTTTTTTTAGTGATGTTTTTTCAAAATTTTTTTTTTAAAAAAAGGACTTAATCTGACGAGATGAACAGAAAAGTAAAAAAAAATAAAGTTTAAAACAACAAGAAGCCAAAAATAGTGGACCTTTTGACTTATTATTTTGGCATTTTCAATTTCTTAAAAAAAAATTAAAAAAAATTACTTTTTAGACCTATCGAATACAAGACAAGTCAAATCAAAAAAGTAAAAAAAAAAAAAAAATTTAAAAAAAAATTTAACATAACTTTGAAAAAAAAAAAATAGTAAAAGCAAAAGAAAATGTGAATTTTTTGGTGTTGCTAGACACTCGACCAACTTCGGCTATATATTTTGTCTACATATGTATGTGTGTATATTTGTATTTTATTTTTCTATTTTTAGTGTGAATTTCAATGGTACTGTTTATTGTTAAAATTAATTTGTCATTTACATTTGAGACACTTCAAATGTAACTAATTAAGAGAGGATAAGATAAATTTATCATGTTGACTATTGTGTTAAAGCTTGAAATTATAAAAGTTGTCTAAAATGATAAATGCATCTCCCGTTAAATATTCTTTTATGAATAATTCAGCAATGTGAAGTTGATCAAATATTTAAAAGAGTGATATCTGTGCTTTATTTTGACTCTTTAATTTTTATTTTTTGTCCTGTAACTTTCACAAAGAGAATATAGGTTTGAGTAAAAAAATTTATGTTGATCAATTAATTAATCGATCAATCAATTATTTAATATACTAACTCAAAATTAAAATAATTATTATTTTCCATGAGCTTTGAAAATGTCATGTTCAAAAGAAAAAATTAACAAAAAAATATTGAGTATTCTTGTAATGTCCTAGCTTCGCACCAATTACAAAATATCACATTATCTGGAGAGTTCAGTAGTCTCGTACTAGTATATAAGTAACTGACACTTCTCTCGAGTAAGATGGATGACATTTGGTGAATAATCCTAATTTCCTAAAGCAAGATCTTTCATATTATGAGAGATTAATAATTTCTCGAAGAATATGAAAATGTTGATGAAAAAAACCTCTGACCCTCCCTTTCTAGTATATTTATTATTTATTATTTACCTTTATAAAATATTAACTTTTGAAAAAAATTGCAATTCAGTGCATATTTAAATATATAAATAAAAAAAAAAAATTCAATGATAAACTTTATCAACTTTAATAATTAAAATTATAAACTTTTTTATGAATTTATAAATCTTTTGTAAAGACACTATTGATTTGTAATTTTTTCTTAATTTTTCATAGATGGAGAGTCCAAGAAAAAGAAAAAAGAAAAAAAAAGAAAAAAAATCTCCCCCTCCATTCTGTTATTTTAAAAAATGAATATAACCATTCACAATCCCTTCTATTTTAAGATGAATTAGAAAATTTGCATCATAATTAGATCATAGTATTAGTCAAAGATGTATATTCTTTTGTTTTAAACAAAATTCATCTTTATTTTCAGTCAAGCTTTTCACATATGCAATCTACATTAATACATGTAATTGGTTTGAGAGGAGAGACACCCCCCAAAAAAAAACACAATTTCCTGCAACCCAAATAACAGAAATGTGTTTAAGAATTTCTTCCATAACCCAAAAATCTATTATTTCCAAATTTTCCAGGAAAACTACATGAGAAATTCTCATAACAAGTACAAAAAAAAATAACATCTGACGGGCACTCATCTGCAACATTTTTCCACCATGTTAAATATCTCCAGTAAAATTGAAGAGAAGATTTAAAGATCTGGCATGCCCTTCCCAGTTTTGGCGTCATATGTCTTTTCCAACACCAGATCCATCTGAGTATCCTTGGGGCCAACTGAAAAAATAAACAAAAGCAAGCCACCACATCACATTAGACCTTCAATGATCCTTGTTTCGGAACAGACATTTTTAGTAATTTTTTGACTTTTTAGCTAAAATGTGATATAAAAAAAAACTAATATGTTTGTGATGACTTTTTGACTTTTTACAAAAAGATATACAAAAAGTAGAGAGAAAAAATGAATCTTTGACTTTTTAGTATGGGTTGTTAATTTTTTGATTTTTTAGTGAATTTTTGACTTTTTGGCTAGAAAAGCCACTTGCCAAACAACAAGCAAAGACATCAAGGGCTTCTTTTAAATTCCAAGTCAAGCAATTATATTCTCAAAAAAATAAAAAATATGAGCAATTATTTTGTACTCTTTAACAAGAAACTGTAATTTAAGAACGATTTCTAAAGAAGCAGCCACCAGTGGCCTTTGAGAAGAAGTTAGCAAGGGCCATACTAAAGGTTGCCATTGAGTGGCAGCTATTCAGAGACAGTATCAAAGTTGAATTCCATCCAAAAGTTACTCATCTTCCAAATTTTCTTTTTAAGTTTCATACATGCCTAGAAGAAACTATGGCCTTTTTAATTTTCCTACTAAACTAAATATGATAAACAGAAGGAATGCTTTGAATGCTCTCATAACTGAGAGAACTGTTCTTTGAACTATACATGTGAGCCCTAGCAAGCAATATGCAGTCAAGAAATTACAACATACACTACTGCAGCAAAATAAACACAAAAACCCATGTTGACAGGTTACTGCCTGTCCAAAATGATAAATGTCAGGTTGTGTATGGTTAGAAAGGCATAAAAAAAAAAAAGAAAAAAAAAAGAAAAAAAAAAAAGTGAAAATGAAAAGAATATAACTTTTCAATATGCATTTGGTTGGGCAGAAAGTTTGTCCAGAATGTTATTTGCATAGACTGGAAGTCAAAATTTTATTTTGTGTAAATTAACCTCAACATCCATATGTCTACGAAGTTAAATATAGACAGAGCAGACAAAGTAGCAATCTACATAGTATAGACCAACATTCGCTGGAAAAAAATAATCTTGTGTTTTGTGTTCTTTTGCCAAAAACAAGAGGTCATTTTTTCACTTTTCAGCAAAATAGGTGGTTACATTACACGGTTCCCATTTTTTCAAGAACTTTTCCAGTTCTTCCTAACCATACTCCTAGAAAATTACTCATGTTTCCTTTCCTTCATTTTGTAGGAGGACGGTATTGAAAGGAAAAATACCACAAACAGAAATAGCAACTTATAAAAACAAACATGTCCGTGGTATCAAGATATCCATTTAGGACAAGTTTTGCATTTAGTTCTTGTTACTATGTGCATGCCAGATGTTATAATGAGAGGAAACAAAAGAGGTTAGCCCTCACATCTTCAGCCTATGTCTCACTTATGAAAAAAACTTCTGTATTTTCCTGTGAATTACTAAATGCAATTTCAGCTATAGCATATAGAGCAACAACTTTTAAGTGCTGCATAAAATTGGCTATTATCATATAGTTGCAGGAAAAAGAAAACCAATACACATGAACTAAAAATTATGCACACATGCACATGCAAACAAGCACATAACATATATATAGGTTTTAAGACAGGCCAATACCAACTGTAGGTCTAGGTGTGGTCCTTATCTTTAGGATCTCAGGGCGAGGAATTATAGACCCTGATGTTCCTATTCCTCGGGAAACTCGTACTTTGGTACCATCTTCTAGATATCTGATTCCAACCTTACAAGGTCTCCTGCATAGTTAGCATAAATCACCATTCATTGATAGAACAACTGAAAGCAAAGATCAAAACAACTATGATTATTCATTTAAAATCTGGTATACAACCATACCCTGTAACTGGGTCAAGAACCTGAACGTTTGAGACATGAAGGGGGGCTTCGACTGTAAAAATCCCACCTTCATGCCCTTGCCCTTGCTTGATATGTTTCTTTACCTGCAAAAATTGTACAATATTGACTATAGGAAAACATAATGCAGCAATTCTTCCGTCATACACATGTAAACAGTTTAACAGAATGCTAAAAATTCATTGCAGATCAAAGGAGCTTGGTCAAAAAGAAATAACAAGAAATCTTATACATTTGTAGAAGCCCAAGTAATGGAAAAGATTTTGGGTCAATTTCCAGGCATGGGCATGAGTGCTTTTCATATGAAGGTTTTTAAGACTGCTTTTTGTCACTATAGTACTAAGAAGATGGACCTAATGTTTCAAGAACATGCACATGTTTGTCTTTTCAAGTATTTCTACATATGACAACTGGAACCTACAAAGCAACAGTGTCAAACAGATTCTTGACAACAAAGAAAGTGCAAAACTAAACAAAATCAGAATAAGGGTGGAAATAACTGAGCAGGTTAGTAAGTGCTACTCACCAGATTTTTCCCCTCAACAATCACACGATTTTGAGAGCGAATAACACGCTTAACAATCCCAGTCTCACCTCTGTCTTTACCCCTGGTTACCATCACCTGCAAATTAAGGGAAGGAAACATTCATTGAAGAAGAGAAAAAGAAGGAGAACAGAGCCATACAGGTACAAAGAAGAAAACAATCTTCTCTCTTCTTCTTACATTATCTCCTCTAAGAATCTTCCAGTGGTGTATGAGTTTCTGAGCTGCTTTCCAACCCATTTCAAATTAAATCTGCAATCAAGGATAAACCAGGTAGTATTAGTATAACATGGCTAATTATTTTTTTAACCAGTAGATGGTCAAAATTAAATAAAATTGAGAAGAACATGTCAATTTAGCACCAAGTAACATCCATAGCACTACCAACCACAAGATTGTAAGCCTAATTCCAATGGAAGCCAATTTTTTGCAAATAATACAAAGGTAACAGTTAAACATCAATTGAACGACAAGGTTTTGTATTAAATTAAAAATGATATAAAAGATCAAGACTTGGTTGGTTTATAATCCAAATCTCCCATATGAAGATACTGTGTGATTGTGCTGCTAAATGTCATGAAACATAAAATAAATAAATAAATATATAAAATCAATTCCCCTTTACAGTGGTACAAGCTAGAACAGCTGAAGAATACATAACTTACCGATAAAAGGAATACAAGTGTAAATTGAAAAAGTCTTAATACACCATCATTATCACACACAAAAAACTTTATTCAAGAGAACAATTTGTATTGCGAACTGACTTTCAGCCTAATCTCCAATTTACTTTAAATGATAAATAAATAAAAAAAATTTAAAAGAAAAGGAAAAATATTTCAGTTTCCGAAAACATCAATGTGAGCCGCAATAATTAAATGTCAAATTGTGCCGGGTCTACTGACATAAAATCCAAGACTTAAAACGTTTTCCTACATTTTCTCAGCAACCAAACAGTACTCCGCTCATATTCGTTAGCAAACAAATCCTGAAAACTCTGAATAAGTGTTTGGTTGCTGAGAAAATAAAGGGGAAGAAAGCGAAACTTGCGATCAGAAGACAATACCAGAGATTGGAGACCCAAACATGCGACGATAGAGTGAGTTGGTCGTTCGTTGGACTGGTTTCTGTCGATCTCTCTCGGTCATATCTTGTTTTGCCCCTAGGGTTTATGTCTTGGGGAGTCAGGTGTTCATTTTGGTACATAAGGGACTATCCGACCCGACCCAATTCGTTGTCTCCACTTGTCGGATCCATTTATATAAATTTATTTTTTCAAATTAAATACTACTATAATAAAATCATGCGAATACCGATCAAATTAATTTTCGTTCCTTATAGGTTATAATTAATTTTTCCTTCCTTACAGGTTATAATATTCTAAAGTTTTAGAAATCAAATGAGTTATATGATGGGCCCACAATACTACGCTAAACGGGTCTATTTCTGTTAAAAATGAAAACGAATTTTGTTTCTTTTGTTTTTAGTATTTTTATTATTTTTATAAGTTTGAAGTTTTAAAAATTAGTACATTTCCTAATAAATCCTATATTCATGTTTTATGAATCATTTAATTTTATAATATTCTTCTAAACTTATAAGTCTTATTTCATATTAAAATCTCTCAAATAAAATATACCTACATTTAAAAACAAAATAATAAGGCACACATTATAATGATATCATATTGTCATATTTGACAAAAAAAATTAATAAGATAGTAGTGTACAAATATTCCATTATTACATTTTAAGAATGATACATTTAATAAAAGTTTAATAAGACAATAGTGCATAAATATCTCATTGTCACATTTGAAGAAAAATGATACATTTGATAAAAATGTAATAAGATAATAGTATACAAATGTCCTATCGTCACATTTAAAAAAGGATATGTTTGACAAAAATTTAATAAAACAATAGTATACAAATGAAGCATGCCCACATTTGAAATCTCTAAAAAATATAGTGAAATGACCTTATGGTGTACCTTTCCAAATTCACAAAAAAAAGTCATGAGATATTTCGATACATACTTTTATAGGATGACACTTCATGGTAAAGTGAAAAGAAAAGCATTTTATGAATTTATAACGCAAGTTTTATGGTAAATACATATTTTTATGATAAATTATGTAAATTTTTATAAATTTATATAAGTGATATCACAAAAATATGTAAGTTGAATACAAATGTGCACAAGTTTTTATTTATAAAAGTAAACTTATGCGAACTTGTATTTAACTTACACATTTTTATGAAATTATTCATATAAATTTGTAAAAATTTACATTATATTATGATAAAATTGCATATGATTTGCATTGTACATCGGAGCATTATCCCCAAAAAAACTTGTCCGTCTAAAAAATCAAATTTATTCCAACACTCCCAAATATGAACACCAAAGAAATCGCAAAAAACTGAATCAACTTTGAAATAACTTCAATAAGGAAGAGATAACTTCATTTTGGAAGAAGTTATCTGTGAACCAAGATTTTTTTTTTTTTAGATAGGAATCTATGAACCAAGATTAGTCATACAAAAATTGATAACAAATATGTTAGATCTTAGTCCATGATTGTCACACGTAGAATCCCTATAAAAATTGAAACTGTCCTGTATAACTATTAATTGGAATATACCATTTTATAAAATAAGGGTGCAATCAGATTACCTTTTAGGATAATTCTTAAATGTGCAAGTATATATCATATATACTCGTATAAATTCTTATAAAATCATTTAAATTTTTACAAACATACGTGAATCAACTCAGAAAAATTTGAGAAATCACAACTTATGAATATTTATAAGAACTTACGTGATTTTGTGAGGTAATTTATGTATATTTGTAAGAATTTACGTAAGTACATATGGTATACACCTTAACACACCCAAACAATTCCTTAAGATTTAAATGACTATTTGAGAGTATTTTGGGTAATTTAACAAAATAAACATCGAACCATTTAAATTTTTTCCCCTGGTATAGAACTAGGTAAATGGGTTGAAAGTTTGACAGCCATTTAAGGTCTCGTTTGGAAACAGGTTATTTTTAATTTTTTAATTTTTTGGTTAAAATATAATATAAAAAAAAATTAGTATGTTTAGAATGAATTTTTAATTTTTTTACCAAAAGATGTGCAAAAATTAGAAAAAAAAATAGAATTTTTAATTTTTTGGTATAGATTGTTTTAGTAACTTTTTATCTTTTAGGCTACAATATTGAGTTGCTAAACAAGGCCTAAAGTATGTGTTTTTACTAGGAACACATAAACTAAATTCAGAAAAAGATACTATCCTTTCACAAGAGATGGGGTCCACATATGTGGAACTCACATGTGAAACCCACCTAATGCGAAGAAGTAAGTGGAAATGAACTGAAAATTGATTGAAGAATAAGTAAACTTGCCACTTAATTACAAGAATTAAATTACAAGTTCAATGTGCATAACAATCGACAGAAGAAGAACTTGCCCACAAAGGCCGAATTATAAAGAAACTATTCCTAAACAAAAAACTACTTCTAATTAATTTAAGTTACTTCTAATTCCACGTAGGTTGTGAATTTTGTTGAAAAAGAGACTATTTTCTTCAAATTTCCAGCTTTTATGTTGTTGGCCTTGCTATTTCTCTGTTGCCACGTGTCCTATCATTGAGCAAGTTACCTCCACTTCTTGTATAACTGCCCATGACTCTATAACTGCTAGTAACCGCTTCTTTACTGTAGCATTCTCTTTCTTTTGCAAACAAGACACATATCATGCATCACTTACATGTCTAACTTCATGGCTTGACACCTGGGCCACGTTTGGCCACATCCTACTGCATTACCAGATGAATTGACAGAAAAACTAGATCTGCCACATCTGTTCCTTTAACTGATTCACCTGTCACTTGCTCTGCATTCTAGGATCCACCTCCTACTGTAAACTCGTGGTCTTTACTCCTAGCATTCATTGGATCAACTCTCTATATTTGTTATGCTTATTCGACAGAGAAGATAAATTTTAGTGCCAATAATGCCCCCCTCATTCAAGACAAAAAGATGCTGTTGTTTTGAATGAATATCAGAAAGAACAAAATAAGGTTTGGACACTTATATATTTGGGCAGTTCATTCAGGCTTATAAAAACAAACCCACGTATTAAAACCCAAACACTTATAATAACACCCAGATGCTAAAATTGATCTAAAACACGAATTAAATAGGCCCAACCGTTAAGCCCAATTGTCAGTAACAGGCCCAAACTCAACCAGAAGGGCCCACCGTAAGCTATTCGAACATCAGAATTCATCATCACTTCACTACTTTCATTCCCTCTGCCTTACTCTGTTCTTTGCCTCTTCAAACCTCTTGCTTCGAAACCTTTTTTTGCGCATACACTGCAATGGCACCCAAACGAGCTCAAACCAAAGGAAAGAAACAAGCAGAAACGTTACTTGTGTAACGTTTCCCAACTAAGTTCCAGCAGCTACTCCGTCAACACATCTTCAACAACTGCATTATTCCATGCCGCAATAGTTTTGCACAAGGGGAATTGGGCCCTACTTTCACTGCAACCATTCTTGATGAACTTACTCATTATTATCTTATTGCAGACATCAAAATGATGCTCTTCAATAAGGTGAAGCTGGCCTAGCATCATTGGGACTCAAGCCCTAACCCTCTGCGCTCATGGCAAAAACCTAACCCTGACTGGAAACTTTGGGTCCAGCGAATGATGGTATACGATATTGATCTCTAGAGGGCTTTAGGTATTTATGATAGGAATGGCAACGGATCGGGGCGAGGCCAGGGATCACCCTCTTCGTCCCCGATCCCCGAAGCTGCAAAACTCTCCGTCCCCGCCCCTGATCCCTGGCGGGGAACCCGTCACTTCCCCTATCTCCACCCCCTAACGGGGATTGGGTTTCCATCCCCACCCCCACCCCCTAATGGGGATTGGGTTTCTCCGACCCTGGAAAATCCCCGTAACTCTCTCTCTCTCTTTTTCTGTTTTCAAATCTCTCTCAATAATAAATCATTAACAACAACATCATTTTCATCAACAACAACATTATCAACAACATCATTTTCATTAACAACAACATCATCAAAAAAAAAGAAAAAAGAAAAAAAGAAACAAAGTCGAAAGAAACAGAGTCGGATAGAGACACACACACACATATACACACATACATGAGATCTGAGATATGAGAAAAAGGCAATCGACGGTGGTGGTGGCCGGATCTGCTTAGATCTACCGTGGCGGAGGGAGGATGAGGCGGTAAGAAGCGACAGAGGAGGAGGAGGAGGAGGAGGCGACGGAGGAGGAGGAAGTGGCGAGAGACGATCCGACTGCAGAGGAGGAGACGACGAAGCCATCGCCAACTGCGGAGAAGAAGACAACGACGCCATCGCTGACTACGCCATCGGAGGAGGAGGCGGAAACGGAGAGAAGAGAGAGAGTGAGAGAAGAGAGAGTGAGAGAGAGACATATCAGAGAGGAGAGTGAGAGGAGAGAGAGAGAAAGAGTAAGAGAGAGACAGATCAAAGGGGAATTAATAAATTGGGGGTTTATATATATGAATGAATGGAAGATATTATGGAAATTTTATTTTGGGAGAAACGGGGTCGGGGACGGGTCGAGTCCGGGGCTGTGAAAGCTATCCCCGTCCTTAGCCCGAAACTGATTAGAGATTCAATTTCAAATACCATTCCCAGCCTGTCGGGGGTATTTTTTGAGAAAAAACCACTCTTATCAGGAACGGGGGGTCAGGTCTCCGTCGGGCCGGGTTTAAATTACCATCCTTAATTTATGATGCCATGAGACTGTCAACATTTGCCTTAGACATGGACAAATGGGCCATCAGTGCTGCTGCCTGCTTTTGGTCTGTCTCTTGTAACTCTATTATCCTGAGGTGTGGTATGATTTCTCCCACCATTCTTGATGTTGTTCATTTAACTGGCCTCCCTACTTCTGGCCAACGTATCAGTGCACTTTTAATCCCAAAGACACCTATCAAACTTGATACTGACCTTAGTTATGGAAAATTCCAGACTAAGTATCAAAAGTTTGGTCTTGAACCCTCAGATGAAGAAAGAACAACCTGTTACCGATTGTGGCTTTCTCAACACTTCTTGTGTGTTCCCGGCTTTAAAATTACCAAGGAATACTTAGCTCTTGCCACATATATCCAAGAAGGCATAAAACTGGCCTTTGCTCCTTTTCTTT